GCAGTGGGGGCCACCCCTCCGCGTGGGCAGCTCTCCTTCAGTCCTCTCCACCATGGGCACAGGTCACTGTTTCTCTCTAAACCAATCCTGTGGTCTCTCTCAGGGGGTGGCCATAAACTCCAACCACACCCACCTGACCAGGTGTGTCTCTCACAGGAAGCCAGCATGCACAGGTGGACGCCCATGTGGCTACTGGCTGGCCCATGTGCTGTTTACTCCTACCGGGATGGCCAGTTTCTAGGAAGCTCTTCTGGAAGAGTCAGGCTCTGGCGAGTCAGCTAAGGGGACACAGCTTAGTCAGAATAAGAAAACACGGGCAGTGTGTCTCTGGCAGGGCCTGGAGAGCAGAGGGCGGCATGCCCACAGGGGCTAGGGGAAGAGGACACACTGGGACATGCATGCCCAAGTGGCCAGGAAGGAGCAAGCCTGTGGCCTTTACCAGGGCCCGTGGGGTCCCCAAGCAGGTGCCTTTGGGGATTTCTTTTGGGTGGGTTTGGAGCAGGCAGGCACAAGTGTCATGGGGTTACGGGATGACTGAGAGGTGGTCACTGTGGCCTGGGCAGTCTGCATGGGGAGTGTCAGGCAGGCTGTGTCCAGATGTCCCATTGGGAGCTGGTCACCAGGAGGTGGCTGTTGTATGTGAATTGGCTGCACTGAGGAACTGAGAGGAGACGGAGAACTGGGAACTCTGTCAAGGGTGGCCCAGTCCTGCTCCTGATAGGAGGACATCCAGATTATATTCAAAATGGACGCCAGAAACTACAGGGATCAGAATTCACCACACAAGGGCAACTCTTTGGCACTCTGGACTGACCACTAGTTGGACATGCCAGAGGAACACTCAGGTAGGGTCACAGGGTCCTGCACTGGCACAACACCAGCACCTGCCCTGAGGGTCTCAGGACACTACACTGGCTCCCTGCCTCCCCAAAGAGTGAGGCCCCCACCACAGACTGCAGCTGGAAATTCCTCTGAGAGTGCCCCTATGTCCTTAGTATTTTAGAAACAATGTTTGACCCAGTCCAAGGACCCTCTCATAAAAGCCACAGCCCCTCCCTGTGCTCCTTGGTACAGTGGAGATCCAGCCATCGTCCGTCTGTCCATCCAGTGCTGCTCTGTGCTGCCCGAGACACTGGATTCTAGGAGGAAATTCCTGCTTCTACTGCCCTTGAAGTCTATCAGAATGCCCAAATGTGAGTGCACTGATGGCTTCACTGCAGGTGGTGCAGGGAGACGGCCAGGGTGTTTGGGAGGTTGTTATAGGTCTGGGTTATGTTACCTGGTTGGGGGGTGGGCAGCTAGGAAAGGCTCACCTGGGAAGGAAGACAGTAAAGCTAAGACCTACGGGGGGGCAGTGCAGAGGCAGAAGAGTGTCCAGACAAGGGATGAATGTGGGGCTGGGAGACTGGTACCAGGACCGTGGGAGCCAGGAGGCCCTAGAGCCCATGTGAGGAGGCTCTGGGCTTTGTTCTGAAGTCCACAGGGAGGTGTTGAGGGTGGTGGGAGACCTCATGTTCAAGGTGAGTAGTCAGTGGATCACAAATGGTGTGGAAGAACCCAGCAGGCACCACAGAATCCAGACCCAAAGACAGTGGGCTGCCCCCAAGTCAGAGACTACAGGTTGAGGAGGGTCCAGGTCAGACCACTCTCAGTGCTGAGGGAAGCGGGTTGAGGGCACAGGGTGACCTTGCAGAAGGATGTCCCCACCAAGGCTGGGAAGTAGCCAGGTGTGAGGGACCCTGGGAAGGCCTGGCTTCTGGCCAGTAGTTAGCCACACATTGGGCTTGGTGAGGGGCAGTATTGACTGCTACCTGGGAGCAGCTGCTTTTATGAACACTTACTCACAGCAAATGACTTCAATCTATGAAAATAATCTGACAGACTTGGCTTTGGGCTATGGTGTACAGCAGCACCTGCTCCCAGCAGGGAGCCTTCGTCCTGGTCTAGAGGTCTGTGCAGCTTGTAGCTAGATTCCTCAGTCAGCCTGAGGCCTGCAGGATTACCTCCCCCCACCCCCGCAGGCCAATCATGTGGTGCTACTATGGACTGAAGGACTGAATGAGTGCCTTACATCTTGTTGGCCACTCTGACCCCCAGATCTTCATCAAGGTCCCTTCTTGAGCTGTGAGTTCTCCCATGTGGGAACTTTCATACTATTCTTTTCTTCACCCAATTTTGACTGCTTAAAGAAGAAAATGATCTAGAAAGGGCTCAGGGCCATAGCTCAGTGGTTAGGGTGCTGGCCACATACACTGAAGCAGCGGGTTCGAACCCGACCCAGGCAAGCTAAACAATAATGATGACTACAACAAAAAAATAGCCAGGTGTTGGTGGCAGGCACCTATAATCCCGGCTACCCAAGAGGCTGAGCCAAGAGATTCTCTTGAGCCCAAGAGTTTGAGGTTGCTATGAGCTATGAC